CGCTGCCTGTCGGAGCAGAGCGTGGCCATCTCGCGCTGCGCCGGCGGCCCCGGGGCGCGCCTGCCCGCGCTGCTGGACGAGCCGCAGGTCAACGTGCTGCTCTACGACATGAACGGCTGCTACTCGCGCCTCAAGGAGCTGGTGCCCACCCTGCCCCAGAACCGCAAGGTGAGCAGGGTGGAGATCCTCCAGCACGTCATCGACTACATCTGGGACCTGGAGTTAGAACTGAACTCGGAATCTCAAGTCGGGACCCCCGGGGGCCGGGGGCTCCCCGCTCGCGCTCCGCTCAGCACCCTCAACGGCGAGATCAGCGCCCTGGCGGCCGAGGTGAGGTCCCAGCTGGAGCACGAGATCATTTTTCCTTCTTTCTTCAGATGGGGAAACTGAGTCCCGGAGAGGGAGGGGGGACTTGCCTTACGTCTGCCCCACCCTTTCGGCCCCTGGCTGAGGGTTCCCAAGGACATCGGAAGAAGCGCTCCTGCCTCGCGTCTCCTGGGGCGGGGGCGTCCCGCAGCCGTGCCCCCTCCAGCCCGCCGTCTCACCTCTCCTCTCTTGGTTTCGCAGGCGGCGTGTGTTCCCGCGGACGACCGCATCTTGTGTCGCTGAAGCGCCGAGCTCCAGGGCGCGCGAGGACCGTGCTCGCCGGGCCTCCGAGCGCCTTGCCGCCGCTGGGCAGGGGCCACACTGAGGCAGCGGCCTCTGGGCTCGCGCTGGATCCAGCCCAGGGCTGGGGGACTGACAGGACAGGCCGACCTTCCCTCCACACCTATCTGCCACCAGAGACTTGGGGGAGTCCCCCCCCCCGTGTGTTTCTATTTTTTGAAAAGCAGACATTTTAAAAAATGGTCACGTTTGGTGCTTCTCAGATTTCTGAGGAAATTAATTGCTTTGTATTGTATATTACAATGATCACCGACTGAGAATATTGTTTTACAATAGTTCTGTGGGTTGTTTGTTTTTTTTCTGTTGTTGTTATTAAACAAATACTTTAGATGGTGGTAGAGTTGCAGTGTTCTTGGAAGGACCGGAGGGGCCTGGGTTGGGGGGGTGGCCCCCTGGCCCTTTTCTTTGCACTAGTGCTGGGAGGTGGGGGGCTGGAAGGCCACATCTGGACTGTCACTTTCACCGACCTGAACTGAGTGTTTCCGGTGTCTTTAAAGTATTCTTTCCTTCATCCCTGGCCATTCTCCTGTTCCCTATTGTCATAAAGTTAAATCCTCTAGGGTTTCTCAAAGTGGTCATTGAGCCATCTGGGTCACCTGGGGAGATCGTTAGGATGCAGATCAACCTTGCAAGGCCCCCTCTGGCTTCAGGAGTACTGGAGCCATTTAAGTTGGAGAATCAGGCCACGGGACCCACCTGCACATTTGCCAGGATGGAGGAAGTGAGATCCAGAGGAGAGGGACTTACCCAGAGCCTCATTGTCTGAGGCAGAACTTCAATTGCCCCAATCCCCAGTAGTCCCCCAACAGGCCGCCTCACCCTGGGTCCCAGCAGGCTGCCCTGGGGCTCTAGGCTTGTCCAAGTGGGTGAGTAAGTTGGCAGGGCCAGCGTGAGCACAGCTGCAGGGCCACCTGCTCTGGGTCCGAAGTCTGCCCCCTCACCCTGGCCTGGCTATGCCAGCAGCTCACAAGAACCTCCTCTCTCCCCCAGGGCTCCTGTGTGGGCTCTGAGGAGTGGGTGAGTCAGTCCCCAGCTCCTGAGCAGGAAAAAGGTGTCATTGGCAAGGGCCTATCTGCCTGGACACGCGTGTGAGTTTGTACTCATGGGGGAGTGCATATGAGTGTCTGGGCCTGTGTGTGTGATGAGTGAACTGGCAGTTCCCCCATGGGGCTGGGTCCTCTGTTGGTGTACAGGCCTGGGGGTGTAAGCAGAAGGGCAAATGTGAGCACATGTGTTCTGCAGATAAGTGTGCAACCTCCAGCTGTTTGGGCTTGTGTGTTCTGCCTAAATGCATTGTGAGCATCTCAGCATGGGTCTGTCTTGATGGATGGGTTTGTGTGTCTGGGGGCTGCAGAGCCACACTGGGTTCCTAAGTATGTAATTGTTCTGTAGATTGGCTGGCATTTCTGGGTCTCTGCTGGTCTGGGGTGGAGGTGGGGGCTGCTGTGTTCAGGCAAACCCTTCCTGAAACGTTCAAGTACCCACTTTATTGGCAATTGTGAGGCCCTAGGGACACCAACTTCATGGACCCTACCAGGTCAGCTCCCATGTATCACACAGGGAGAAACCGAGTCTCCAAAAAGGCAAAGCACTTGTCCCAGAGAAGGTAAGACTATTAATACATTTTATTAATAAATAAAAACAATAAAATAAATAGCACCTTGTACCATGAGCCTGCCTCTAAGCTCAACCCTTTACATAGAGGATTTCATGTAGGGGCTAGCAGCAGGATTCTGATCCTAGGTTTGCAACAGAAATAGAGGTTCAGAGGGGATGAACAACAAAATAAAAGAGTATCGCCTATTGAGCACTAACATTAAGGCAGGTACCACCCCTTGTCTAATCACCATGTTGTACATCTGAAACTAATATTGTATATCAAGTGCAACTGAAAAATTTAAAAAACCAGGTACCACCCCTTCCCCAAGCACATTAGGAACTTTATCAAAGAACACAATAATTGGAGGTACATTAAGTCCTTTGCTACGCCCCATCAGCTCTACCCCGATGCTGTTTTACAGCATTAACTTCATAGGATTGCAGAGAAAAAACGAAGTAGCGCACTTAGCCCGTAGTGTTTGCTAGTTATAAATTATTATTGTCGCCTCGCGTCCTTGGAGTGTCCTCAGAGGCACACGTGTGCACCCACTGCCTCGCGTGTGTGGGCCCCGCCCGCAAGCCCACCCACGGGGGCGGGGGCGTGTCCCCGCGCACTCCTGCACCGCAGGGCCCTTCTCCCGGGGAGGACCGCTGCGGGCCGCCTCCCCTCGCCCCCGCCCCGCGCGTCCCCACCGTTCAGGCACACTCTGGCTTCCACGTTTCCCTCTTTTCCCCTTTGGCCCAGGCCCAGCCCATCTGGAGGCCGGCTCGGCGGCGGCCTGGGAGCGTTTCCATCAGCTGGGCCCGAGGAATGCGGAGCTATTTAACCTGAGCATCCCCAGGTGTACGGAGGCGCCTGGCTGTCTGGGGCCCGCCGCCTTTGGCACGGC